GGGCCCCCCCGCGCCGCCCCCGGGCCCGGGGCCGCGGCCGAGGCGCTGGAGGCGCAGTTCAGCTGCCCCATCTGCCTCGAGGTTTTCCACCGCGCCGTCGGCATCGCGGGCTGCGGCCACACGTGAGACGGGGCCCGGGCGGGGGCGGCGGGGACCCCCGGGGACCCTCAGGCTGAGCCAGCCCCGGGGACGGGCGGGACGCGGGGCTGGGTGCTGTGCCGGCTCTGGGAGCCTTGCGGGCGCTCTGCCCGGTGAGCCCGGCCGGTACCGGGGCCCCCGGTTCACACCTGGGATGGGTCGGTACCGGGACCCCTCATCCTGGGTCAATCCCGGGACCCTCATCCCGTCCCACCCCGGGATCCCCATCCCACCCTTCCCCTCCCTCAGCTCCCTGACCTGGCCGCTGTCCCCAGGACCCCCCGAGCCCTTCCCGTGTCCCCCCAGCATTTCGGGGACACCCTGATCCCTTTTCCAGCTGATTTTGGGGACTTTCTCCTGCTCTTTTGGGGCTGGGGGCGATTGCTGAGCCCCCCACGATGCCCCCTGCCCATCCCCATCCCCTGGCAGCCTTTGGGGTGCTTCATTCCCTGTTCCTGCTGAGGAGGAGCTCCAGGAATGCCAGGATGATTGGATTTTGGGGACGGGGCTGCTGGGATTCCTTTGCTCCTGGGGCTGTAAGGACCTTGGAATGAGCTGATCCAGGCTCCTGCCTGGCCTGGATACCCAGCACTGCTTTGGGCTGCTTTCAGATCCAGCCTGGAGCAGGGGAACTGTCTGAGCCTGCAGCAGCTCCCTGGGGACTCACCTGCTCCCAGTTCTCCCAGTAAGGATGCTGATCCCTGAGAGGCTGCCTAGAACAGAGGCTGGACAGAGCTAAAGGAATAAAATAGGGATTTTTAAAAAGACCTTTAAAGGATGCACATTGGGCATCCTTGTGAGACCTGAGTCGCAGGTTTTCACACTTTTATAAGGTTTGGTCCATTTCCCTATTGGGGTTCACTGTCCACTCACAGCTCCAGGTGATGCAGTCCCATCCTCCCAGTTTGTTCTCCTCCATTCCCTGTTGTTTGCACTTTTTGGGCCTTTTGGGCCTTTTTGTTGTTTGCACTTTTTGGGCCTGAAGCTGCAGTGATGTCCTTGGTTCTGGGCTGGAAAAGGATTGTTGTGTGTGACTGAGCTGTGAGGAGAGCTGCTGACACTTGATATGTGTTCAGAGTTATGTACCAAAGCAGTCCAGAGTCTGAAAATACAAAAGCTAAAACTGCTAAAAAGCTAAAACCCATCACCCGTGTTTTGGGGCGCTGGGGGTGGCGGGCAGGGGGGTGCCCTGCTGGCATCCTGCTGTGCCCGGGGTGCTCAGGGTCACCTGTGTCCCCAGGTTTTGTGGGGAATGCCTGCAGCCCTGCCTGCAGGTGCCCTCCCCGCTGTGCCCGCTCTGCCGCGTGCCCTTCGACCCCAAGAAGGTGGAGAAGGCTTCCAGCGTGGAGAAGCAGCTCTCGTCCTACAAGGCTCCCTGCAGAGGCTGCAGCAAGAAGGTAAAGCTGTCCCCAGTGTCCCCAGTGTCCCCATCCTCCTCTGGAATGTGTCCAGAGAAGGGAACGCAGCTGGGGAAGGCTCTGGGGGAGGCTGAGCCTGGAGAGAAGGAGGCTCAGCCTGGAGAGAAGGAGGCTGAGCCTGGAGAAAAGGAGGCTGAGCCTGGAGAAAAGGAGGCTCAGCCTGGAGAGAAGGAGGCTCAGCCTGGAGAAAAGGAGGCTCAGCCTGGAGAAAAGGAGGCTCAGCCTGGAGAAAAGGAGGCTCAGGGGGCACCTTCTGGCTCTGCACAGAGGGGACAGCCGGGGGGGTCAGGCTCTGCTCCCAGGGAACGGGGACAGAACCTCTGAGGATCCCTGCAGCCCCAAATCTCCATCCTGCAAGGAGGGATGGGAGGGTGCAGCATTCCCACTGCTGTGGTCGTGGACCAGAGGTGACTCCCACCTCAGCTGAGCAAAGGCAGCTCCTGTGCTGGCTCCTGGCAGGTGTTCCTGCCCCTCCAGGAGCGTTTCTTGTCCTCCTCCTGCAGGTGACCCTGGCCAAAATGCGCTCCCACGTCTCGTCCTGCGCCAAGGTGCAGGAGCAGATGGCCAACTGCCCCAAGTTTGTTCCAGTTGTCCCCACATCCCAGCCTATTCCCAGGTATGCCTGTGCCTCGGGTAGGGGAGCCCTCCTTGCATGCCCTGCCATCCAGGTGTGTGTTGTGCCTGTCCCTGGGAGGAAGAGCAGCGCCTGTTCCCTCCTGGCACTGCCGCTCCGGTTCCGGAGCGTGCGCTGGGATGAGGGATCCACCCAAGCAGGGAGGTGGGCTGGGAGGGGGCTGGGCTGGCTGCTGCTGTCACAGAGCTGTGTGTGTTAGTTTGGGAGGAGTCAGTGCAGCCTCCCCTGAGATCTGAGCTCATCCTTGCTCTCCTCAGCAACATTCCCAACCGCTCCACGTTCGTGTGTCCGTACTGCGGGGCGCGGAACCTGGACCAGCAGGAGCTGGTGAAGCACTGCATGGAGAACCACAGGAACGACCCCAACAAGGTGGTGAGTGCTGCTGGGGGGTGTGGGACAGCTCTGGAGTCCAGCCACGCCCTGCAGCATCCCAGGCCAGCAGCACGGATGTTTGTGGAGGCACAGCTGTGTTCCAGCTGGCTGAAATCCCTTTGGGAGCAGGGGATCTGGCTCTGCTTTGAGCTGCCTCCATCCCCTGTTCCTACAAACCAGGTGGTGCTGGGTTTCCTCTCACTGTCCCCTCTGGGTTGAGCAAGTTGGGGAACTTGGGATCTTCAGCACAGGAAGGACCTGGAGCTGATGGAGCGACTCCAGAGGAGATCACCAAGGGGATCAGAGGGGTGAAGCAGCCATGAGGAGAGGCTGAGAAAACTGGGATTGTTCAGCCTGGGAGAGAGAATCTTCGGGGAGACCTAATTGTGGCCTTCCAGGACCTGCAGGAAAGATGGAGAGAGGCTATTGACAAGGGCCTGGAGGAACAGGATGAGGGGGAATGGATCCAAACTGCCAGAGAATTGTTTGGGTTGAGTATTAGGGAGAAATCCTTCCCTGTGAGGGTGGGCAGGCCCTGGCAAAGGTGCCCAGAGCAGCTGTGGCTGCCCCTGGATCCCTGGCAGTGTCCCAGGCCAGGCTGGATGGAGCTTGGAGCCTGTCAGAGGCGGGGCACACACCACTGAGCTCTCTAGGAGGTCCCTGTGCAGGTGCCACCATCCCGTGTCCCTGTCCCCGCAGGTGTGCCCGGTGTGCTCGGCCATGCCCTGGGGGGATCCCAGCTACAAGAGTGCCAACTTCCTGCAGCACCTGCTCCACAGGCACAAGTTCTCCTACGACACCTTCGTGGTGAGTCTGACCCTGAGCCAAAAAAGGGGGACCCCCCCATCCCATGTTCTGTGCCAGGAGGTGAAACCAGCCCTTCACAGGGCACACGTGTCCCACCCACGAGACCCCACACCCACCAGGGTGTCCTCACACACCAGGAGGAGAGGGGATTGTTCCTGCACTCCACAGAATGGGTTTTTCCATGGAGCTCTTCCCCTGAGGAATTGTAACACAGAAGCCCTTTTCTTGGAGGCTTTGGGAGCAGGGGGTGGGACCAGGGTTTGGGGGGGTGTGGTTGCTGCACGTGGGGGGTCCCTGACCCCTCCTGTGTGGGGGGCACTGATGGCTCAGCCTTGGCCTCAGGGGAGCCTCTGTTCCCATCCTGCTTTCGTTGGAGAGATGTCAGGGAAAAGAACCTCCAGGCATTTTCAGAGGAATATCCCAACCCAGAGCTCTGCAAAAAACCCCTGGCCTTGCTAAAAAGCTTCACCCTTTGGCCTCAGCTTGTGTGGGCAGGCTCCCTCCCTCCTGGCAGCTGTGAGATCCCAGCAGGAGAGGGATGTGGGCACAGAGGACACCGGGAAGAGCGCGGGTGCCACTCCTGGCATCCGTGTGGCACGGGAGCGGGCAGGGCTCCGTGGCACAGCGTGCCCTGGCTGTGCCAGCTCTGCTGAGCTGCCCTCTTTGGCTTTCAGGATTACAACATCGACGAGGAGGCAGCGTTGCAGGCGGCCCTGGCTCTGTCCCTCTCTGAGAACTGAGGCTGATCCCTCTCCCTGCCCTGGCTCCTTCTGCACACTCCAGGAACCCTCTGGAGCCCCTCTGCTGCCTCTGTTCCCACTGCAATTCCCACCTTGTTTAAGAAGGTGGAGCCTCTTCGGTTGTCACAGTGAGCGAGCAGAGAGCTCTGGAGCAGGGCTGGGATCAATCCTTGGATTGGCATTTAATATCCGTGCTGGGAGCATAGCCCCGTGTCCAGATCTATTTATTGTTAGATGCTTTTTGGCACACTCCTCCCTGCTCTCTGTTGCAGCAGAATAGGTACCTGAAACTGATAGACTGGATGCCAAACACCCTCATTTGGGACTGGAATCAGCCACATCCTTTTAAAAAGGAGGAAGGCAGCACGGAGCATCTTTTTTTAAACTCTCCAAGGATTTTTCTAGAGATGTCAGGCTGTCCTGAGCCCCGTGCTGGAGGCTGGAGCTGCCTCCTTCACCTGAATCCCAGGATGAGACTGAAGAGTGGTTCAGAGGAGCCCTGGAGGATGGCATCCAGCATCCAGGGAGACCTCCCCTTCCTCGTTTTGTACCAGCTCTTGGGACACCAAATCCTTGCCTTTTTCTACACGGAGCGGCGCGAAGCCTTTTCCACGTTTTCTAGAGCGGGGTCAGAAGCTGCTCCCCTTCACTCTGCAATATCTGCCACCTGGGACAAGAGTATTTTTATGGAACATTATTAAGAAAGTTTATTTTTTACACAGATAACCCAAGCAAATGAACACGTGGATTGGGAATGGAGCGGGAGGCAGGAGCTGGATCCCGGAGCGGGTCGGACTCAGGTGGGGGGAAGTGCAGGGATCTTTCTGGGCCATCCTGGATATTTCTGGGCCTTTCCCTTCCCTCAGCAGAATTGTGAGGGACCAGGCAGGATGGTTGGGTTGGATCCAGGTGCTGGTTGCCCGTGGAATGGCTGTCCATGCAGGATCCCAGCCCCGAGCTCCCGATCCCCCCAGAAATCAGGGACTGCATCTCCCTGTGGTGATCCCTCCCTGGGAATGGGGCACTGCTGATCTGGGGTGCTCCACAGCATCCTGGTGACCCCTTCCCCCTGCCCCTTCCTCTCAGCCCTGCCTGCTGCTGCTGGAGTTGGCTCTGGAGGGCTGGGAGAGGCTGGGAGGGAGATGGCAGCAGCCACGGTCTGCTGATCTGGGGTGCTCCACAGCATCCTGGTGACCCCTTCCCCCTGCCCCTTCCTCTCAGCCCTGCCTGCTCTGGAGGGCTGGGAGATGGCAGCAGCCACGGGGCGAGCCCTGAGGGAGGGGGTGATTCCCTGCAGGATTTGCAGGGAAAGGTGGGAGAGGCCCCCTCTGCATCTCCCTGCTCAGAGAATTCCTGAGCTTTATCCAAAACCTGGCTCCAGCTCTGCTCTAGCAATACTGCCTGGGGTTTGTTTTGGTTTTCACAGCATGGGTGATTTTGGGATCTGCAGCCGTGCAGGGAGCCCTGAGCTCCCCTGGCAGGGCAGGGAAGAGGGATGGGACCTTCTCTGCCCAGCATTGCTGGCTCCTGCGGGTGTTCCTGTGGGATGGAGAGCACTGGCACCTTCCAGGAGGGACCCAGGAGCATTTCCCTGTCCTGTGCTCAGCTGGGACCCTCAGCAGCACCGTTAACCTCGGGCTCCTTCCCTCTCTCCTCCTTTTCCTTCTCCTTTTTGCCCCACAGAGACAGAGCGGGGGCAGCAAGAGCTGCTTTTGTAAAGCACTTTAAGGCCCTGGGTGTGAGGGGCCACACCAGGCTGTGCCAGGGGTCCTCCCTGTGCCCGGGATCCCTCCGTGCCATGGATCCTCCCTGTTCCAGGGATCTTCCCTGTGCCAGGGATCCTCCCTGTGCCATGGATCTTCCCTGTGCTCAGGATCCCTCCGTGCCAGGGATCCTCCCTGTACCCGGGATCCCTCCGTGCCCGGGATCCCTCCGTGCCAGGGATCCTCCCTGTTCCATGGATCCTCCCTGTTCCATGGATCCTCCCTGTGCCCGGGATCCCTCCGTGCCGTGGATCCATGGATCCCACTGGCCGTGCCCACCAGTGCATCACCCACCAGTTTTTTGCATAATTAGAACTTTTAACGAGCCGTCCTGTTTTTTGAAGAGGAATTAACTCGATGACGTATTTGTAGCAAACCATTTTTCTCAATAAAGGCAGTTTCATCCACGCGTGGCCTCTGTGGGGGGAAGCACTGCAGGGATACTGGGAGCACTGGGATGCTGGGGCACTGGGATGCTGGGGCACTGGGATACAGTGGCCCTGAAGGCTGTGGAGCACTCCGGGGGTACTGGGGACATTTGGGGCACTGGGAATATTTGGATATTTGGGGTGTGGAGGTGACCAGGAGTGCGGGAGCACTGGAGCTGTACTGGGGACACTGGGTAGCAGTGGGCTGCTGGGGCCTGAGCGGTGCGGGGAGCACTGGGAGCCGTACCGAGAGCAGAACCGGGCGGGTGTCTGGAGCAGAACCGGGAGTGGTACCGGGAGCACCAGGACGGTACCGGAGGCACCGGGAGCATCTGCGCATGCGCAGGTATTGCCCAATTCAAAAATGGCGCCCCGCAGGCCCGGCCCAGCGCGCTCAGGGGGCGGGGCCGCCCGTGGTCCGATCGCTGCCATTGGCTGTTAGGAACCGTGTGCTGCGGTCTTGACCAATGGCGAGGCGGGACCGGCCGCAGGCCACGGTCACGTGCATGGCGCGGGGGCGGGGCCTGAGTGCTGCCGGCAGCGATGGCGGCGGAGCGCGCGCTGGCCATGGCGACCTGCACGGCCCCCGTGAACATCGCCGTGATCAAGTACTGTGAGTGCCGGGGACACGGCCCGGCGGGCCGGGCACCTCCGGGGCTCGGGCTGGGCTTGGTGTGTCGTGTGTGCCGGGCCGGGCTGTGCTGCACCGTGTCCCTGCTTGCCGTGCCCTGCCAAGCGCTGTTATGCCATGCTTTGCTCTGTGTGCATTCCGAACTGTTCCATGCCTCTCCTAGCCATGCCATGCCATTCCTGGCTGTGCCATGCCATTCCAAGCTGTACCATGCCATTCCTGGCTGTGCCATGCCATTCCAAGCTGTGCCGTGCCATTTCTAGCCGTGCCATTCTAAGCCATGCTAGGCGCTGTCATGCCACGCTTTGCTGGTGCTGTCAAACTCATGCCGTTCTTAGCCATGCCATGCCATTCCTAGCCTTGCTATGCTCTTCCATGCCATTCCATGCCATTCCAAGCCGTGCCATGCCGTGCTCTCTTGCAGGGGGCAAGCGAGACACCGACCTCATCCTGCCCATCAACTCCTCCCTGAGCGTGACGCTGCACCAGGACCAGGTGGGTCAGCATCAGGACCAGGATCAGGTTTAGGACCAGGACCAGGTTTAGGACCAGGACCAGGACCAGGTTTAGGACCAGGACCAGGTTTAGGATCAGGACCAGGACCAAGTTTAGGACCAGGACCAGGGCCAGGTTTAGGACCAGGACCAGGTTTAGGATCAGCCCCCAGGGGTGCTGAGCCCCCTCCCTCTCTCCCCACAGCTCAAGACCACCACGACGGCGGCCGCCAGCCGGGATTTCACGGAGGACCGGCTGTGGCTCAACGGGAAGGAGGCGGACGTGGGGCACCCGCGGGTCCAGGCCTGTCTGCGAGAGGGTGAGTGTCCCCTGCCCGGGGGTGTCCCTGCTGTCCCCTGACCCCACTGTCCCCGCTGTCCCTGACCCTACTGTCCTTGACCCCACTGTCCCCGCTGTCCCTGCTGTCCCTATCCCCAATGTTCCTGACCCTGCTGTCCCCTGTCCCTGCTGTCCCTGTCCCCGCTGTCCCTGCTGTCCCTGTGCCCAGTGTCCCTGTCCCTGCTTTCCCCACCATGCCTGACCCCACTGTCCCCACTATCCCTGTCCCCGCTGTCCCTGTGCCCAGTGTCCCTGTCCCTGCTGTCCCCACCGCTGCTGGCACGGATCCTGTGCCCATCCCTCCGCTGTCCCCGCTGCTGGCGCGGGTCCTGTCCCCTCGCATGGCCCCTCTTGTCCCGGGCTGGCCCTGTCCCTCCGCGCCATCCCTGTCACCGCCGTGTCCCGTGACCCCGGTGTGGCCCCGGGCCGGTGCCGTGTCCCCGCGGGGGCGTGGCCTGTGGGGAAGGGGGCGTGGCTAACACGAACGGGTGTGGTGTATTAGAGGGGGTGTGGTCAGCGCGAAGGAGGCGTGGTCTGTGCTGGTAACGCCCCACCCGCTTTCCGGGTCGGGACCGGCCGAGCGGAGCGGAACCGGGACAGCCGGGCCGGGCCCACCGGGAGCAGCCGAGCTTCAGCTGGCAGAACGAAGCAGAACGGGCCGAACCGGGCCGAGCAGAACCCTACCGGGCTGAGCCGAGCTGAGCCGAATGCGACCGGGCTGAGCCGAACCGGACCGGGCCGGGAGTAGCCGAAGGCGCTCGGGCCGAGCCGAGCGGAGCCGGGGGCAGCCGAAGGCGCTCGGGCCGAGCCGAGCGGAGCCGGGAGCAGCCGAAGGCGCTCGGGCCGAGCCGAGCGAAGCCGGGGGCAGCCGAAGGCGCTCGGGCCGAGCCGAGCGGAGCCGGGAGCAGCCGAAGGCGCTCGGGCCGGCCGGTTGCGGCGCGGGCCATGGGGCAGATCGAGTGGGCCATGTGGGCGAACGAGCAGGCGCTCGCCGCCGGGCTCAGTGAGTGCGGGGCTGGGGCTTTGGGGCACCCGGGCACTCCGCAAAGTCCCCGCGCTCTGGAGGGAGTGAGCGCCCCGCGGGCTGGGCATGCCGAGCCCCGGCCGATGGGACTGGGGGGTCGCGGCCCCGCCGGGCTGAGGGTGCGGGCGGGGCACGGCCGGGAAGTCGCGGCCCGGCGGGGCTGGAGCCTTCGCTTCCTCCTTTTCTCTTCCTCCTCTGCCCTCTCTCCCTCGGTTCCCTCCTCTCTCTTCCTCTTCCTCCGGCCGCGAGGCCAAAGAGCTCCCGCAGGGCCCCGCAGTTGCCGATCGCCCCGTGGGGGGCCTGGGCCGGGGACCCCCGGGGACCCCCCCGAGCCCGGGGTCCCCTGTGTCCCCTGTGTCCCCAGGGCCAGAACCCCGCTTGGGGTTGCGGGGGGCTGGGTCCTGGGTTTGGGGGGGCAAATCCTGAGCTCGGGGCTGTGTCTGCGGTTTTGGGAGCTGCACCCCAGGCTGGGGGCTGTGTCCAGGGTTTGGGGGGTGTATCCCGGGTTTGGGGGGTTGTATCCCGGGTTGGGGGTATTATCCCGGGTTGGGGGCTATATCCTGGTTTTGGGGGGTTGTATCCTGTGTTTGGGGGGTTGTGTCGTGCGTTTGGGGGGTGTATCCCTTTTGTGTGTTGTATCCCGGGTTGGGGGTTATACCCCGGTTTGTGGGGGATGTATCCCGGGTTTGGGGGGTGTATACCTGTTTGGGGGTTGTACCCATTTTGTGTGTTGTATCCCGGGTTGGGGGTTATACCCCGGTTTGTGGGGGGTGTATCCCGGGTTGGGGTCGGTATCCCGGCCCGGTGTGACCGCTCCATCCCGGCTGTTCCCGCAGTCCTGCTGACGGGCGGGATCGTGGCCGTGGCGGGGCAGTTCAAGGGCTGGTACTTCGCGGCGTATTCCATGTATCCTTCCCGACAGCATTCCCGGGGCTGGGCTGCGGGAAAACCCTGTCCCGATCGGGCTGGGAGGCATGACCGGGGAGGGGTCACATCCTTATCCCCCCACCCTGCTCCAGCTGTGCGTTCCCTGCCCCGCACAGCCCTTTTTTTGGGATGCGGGTCGTTCCTTGGGGCCGTTCCCGGTCCCATCCTGCCTTTCCTTGACGTCCCGGCAGTGCGGCAGGTGTCCTGGTCTGCCTGCTCGAGTATCCCAGGAGCAAACGGAAAAAGGGCTCCACCATGGAGAGGTGGTGAGTGCTGTGTCCCCCCCGCAGCCCTGGGGGTCCTGGTGCCCCCGAACACAGGGAGGTGGGAGCAGAGCTGGATCCCACGGGTGCGTTCCTCGGGGTGATCCTTGCAGAGGAGGCTGGCTGTCCCCTGAGGGTGGGGACACCCCCAGTGACCCCCTGCTGTCACCCTGCAGCGGCCAGAAGTACCTGACAGCTGTGGTGAAGCTCCTGGGGCCCCTCACCAGGAATTATTACATCCGAGCCGTTCTCCACGCTGCGTGAGTGGGGTGCAGGGTTGGGGCTGGGGCTGGGATCCCCCGAGTGGGGTGCAGGGCTGGGGCTGGGACCCCTGAGTGGGGTGCAGGGTCGGGACTGGGGCTGGGACCCCCGAGTGGGGTGCAGGGTTGGGGCTGGGGCTGGGATCCCCCCGAGTGGGGTGCAGGGTTGGGGCTGGGGCTGGACCCCCCTGGCTCCCTCTGAACACCAAATCTCTGTCACAGCCTGGCTGTCCCTGCTGGATTCCTCCTCTCCACCATCCTGGGCACCGTCTGCCTGGGCATTGCCAGTGGCATCTACCTGCTGGTGAGTGCAGGGGGGCTTTGGGGGTTTTGGGGCGCTGGGAGGGGGAAGCCACCCCTGAACCCACGCACCAGTGCTTCCATATGAATTCCAGAAGCATTCCCAGACGGGGCTGCAGGAACAGCTTGTCCTGATCAGGGTGTGCAGGGGTCACATCCTCCTCCCCCCACTCCGGTCCCCCTGTGCTTTCCCTGCCCCCAGCAGCCCCTTTTTGGGGTGGGGCTTGTTCCTTGGCACTGTCCCGATCCCACAGGCTGCAGTTCGAGGGGAGGAGTGGAGACCCATCGAGCAGAAGCCCCGGGAGCGGCCACAAGTGGGGGGCACCATCAAGCAGCCCCCCAGCAACCCCCCGCCCCGGCCCCCCCCCGACGCCCGCAAGAAGCAGCCGGAGGTGGGGGGGCAGGTGAACCCCATCCCCGTGGAGGTGGAATAATGGGGGATCCTCCTGCCCTGCTCCTGCTCCTGCTTCTCAGCCACTCCTGGGTCTGCTGCAGCCATCGGGCTCCTGGGGGTCCCCAGAAGCCCGGGGGTGCTGAGCTGCTTGCTGTGGGTCCCCAGCTCCTGGTGATGCTCAGATCCCTGGGATCATCAGTTCCCCTGGGCTCCCCAAGGGATTCCCAAATCCCCAGTGATGCTCTGGGGTCCCCAGCTCTCCTGGGGATCCCCAAATCCCCTATGATGCTCAGCTCCTTGTAGGATTTCCATCTCCATGTAGGATCTCCATCTCCTGGGGATCCCCAAATCCCCTAAGATGCTCAGCTCCCAAATTTGCAGCGATGTGATGTTCCCTGTGGGGTTTCCAGCCCTCAGGGACTTCCCAACTTCTGGAGAGTCTCAAATCCCTGGGGCTGCTCAACTCCCTATGGGGTCTCCAGCTCCCAGGAGCTCCCCAGCTGCTGGACCTCCCCAAATCCCCAAGAATGTTCAGCTTTCTGTGGGGTCTGCAGCCCCCAAGGCCTTCCCAGCTCCTAAGGATCCCCCAAATCCTTGGGGATTCTCAGCTCCCTGTGAGTCTCCTGCTTCCAGGGGCTTCTCAACTCCTGGGAAATCCCAAATCCCTGGGCATGCTCAGCTCCCTGAGGGTCCCAGCTCTCCAAGCACCCCCCAGTTCCCTGGGGGATCCCCAAATCCCTGTGGAACTCCATCTCTCAGGGAATCCCCAGCTCCCAGGGGGATCAGGCAGCTCTGCTCCCGCTCTCCCTGGTTTTTGTCATTTTTGCAGTTGCTGTTGCAATAAAAAGTGGGAAAGGCACCAGCTGCCCCTGCCTCCTGCTCCAGGGGGAATCTTCCCAGTCCTGGGGGGCTGGGACAGGACTGGGGAGGTGTTTTGGGGACAATCAGTGCAGTTTTGGGCAAATCCAGGATGCGGATGTGCAGAGTGTGGTCATGGCAGGGTCCTCTCCTTGTGGAGCCAGCAGTGGGGAGGAACTGGGAGGAACTGGGAGGGCCCCACACTGGAGCTGCACAGCGAGTCCCAAAGGAGCCCCCAAAACCTGGGATAACCCCCAGCAGGGAATGTGGGGAGCATTTCCCTTCCCAGTCCCACTGGTGGCTGCTGCAAGTTCCCCGGTGTGCTGTGGGTGCCAAATCCTCGATCCCACTGGGATCAGCAGCTGCTCCAGGCCCCCTCTGCCCCCTCCCCACACAGACCCTGCCCCCTGAGGGGCTGCAGGTGGCCCAGGGTCCCCCGAGGTGCTGCCAGCACAGGTGGAGTGGCCCTGGCAGGTGGCACCGGCTCCGTGGGATGTGGTGCCCGGGGGCAGAGCCATGGGAAAGGTGTGGGTGTCGGGGTGCCAGGGCTGGGTCCCCCCCGGGCTGGGGGTGTGGGGCACCCCCGTGCCCTGCTGCCCTCCCCAGCACCTCCCAGTTCATCGTGCCCTGCTGCACTGGTGCTCTGCCCACCGTGCAGGGGCTCAGGGGTGTCCCACAGCTGGCACTGCCCGTGGATGTGCCTCTGTCCCTGTGCCCCAATTCCCCACATCCCAACGCCCTGGCTGGGAACAGAGCGAGGGCTGTGCCAGGAGTTGTTGGCTTTTATTTGCAGCATTAAATAGCACTAGGCAGGAGACAATAAATACCTTTTTGGGGGAATAAATAACCAGCGAGTGCAGCACTCACAGGGTCTGGCCGTGGGGCGATGCTGGCCCTGCAGTCACAGCCGTGGCTGGGGCGGCGGGGGGGGGTCAGCAATAAATAGAGGGTACAAAAAGCCCCCCGGCAGCAAGGCTTATAAATAACTCATAAATAACCAGGGAGGGGACGCCCCGGCGGGGTCGGGTGCTCTAAAACAAGCACGGGCGGGGTGGCACGGTGCCCGGGGCGGGCTCAGCGCGCCGTGCGGGGCAGGACGCAGGTGCAGCCCACGGGCACTCGGATGTAATCCACCTCCAGCGCCACCAGCCCCGGCGCCGCGGGCCGCGGGCACGGCTTGCGCCGCAGCACCAGCATGGTCTGCTGGATGGTCACCGAGTTGAGCGACGTGGTCTCCCGGCCGGTTTTCACATCCACGCAGCCGCTGCACAGGCACTCGGCGAAGGCCAGCTTGCGCGGGTAGCGGTTCTCGTCCTCGTCGATGCTGCGGGGACACGGCGACACCTTTCCCTTGTGCCAGCGGCTCTCGGCGGCCGGGCTGGCCCAGGGGCGAGGTGGGGAGGGGATGCTCGGTGCGGGGCTGCGGGGGCACTCACCGGTAGCGCCACGGCGAGATGGAGCGCTCGTGGGGCTCGCCGCGGAGCCCGGCGCGCAGCGGCAGCGCGGGGCAGGCGGGCGGGAGCTGCCGCCGCCGCCGGGCCCCGCCGGGCTCGGGCCGCTCCAGCCGCTCCAGCCGCGGCAGCAGCTGCACCGAGACGTGCCGGGCCCAGCGCAGGCGGCGGCCCAGCAGCGGGGCGGGAGCCTCGTCCCCCAGCTCGGCCCCGCTGTAGCAGCGCACGGCAGAGTGGCCGGAGCCGCCCCCGGCGCGCCGCAGCGGGGACAGGCACACACGGGACAGTGACAGTGACACCGAGGGGACAGGCACACACAGCACAGCGTCAGGGACACCGCGGGGACAGGCACACACAGGAGAGTGACAGGGACACCGAGGGGACAGGCACACACAGCACAGCATCAGGGACACCGCGGGGACAGGCACACACAGGAGAGTGACAGGGACACCGAGGGGACAGGCACACACAGCACAGCGTCAGGGACACCACGGGGACAGGCACACACGGGACAGTGACAGTGACACCGAGGGGACAGGCACACACAGTACAGTGACAGTGACAGTGACACCACAGGGACAGGCACACACGGCACAGTGACAGTGACACCGAGGGGACAGGCAATGTGCGTGTGCAGCCACACGGCCCCGGGCCTGGCCAGCGGTGTGTCTGTAGCTACCACCCGTCCATCATCCATCTCTCAGCCATTATTAGCCATTATTAGCCATTATTAGCCATTATTAGCTGTCCATTAGCTATTTCTCTATTTCTCTACGTCTCTCTGAATGTATAATCTCCACATCTATATGGCTCTCCAGGTCTGTAGAGCAGCTACACATTTTTATCTGTACCTAGAGATCTCTGCAGCTCTGTCTCTGCGCGTCCCTATCTACATATTTATATATCTGTATCTCTCTTTATCTGTCTATATCAGTCTATCTAGCTGTTTATATCTAGCTAGCTATATATCAGTATATCAATATAGCCAGCTATTTCTATCTAGATCTATCTGTATTTGGATCTATCTATATTTATATCTCTCTATATATATCAATTTATCAATGTAACTAGCTGTGCATATATGTCTATCTATATCTAGCTGTATCTATTTCTATCTCTATCTATCTATATTTTTATCTATCTGTATATATATCTATTTATATCTATACCTATGTCTCTATCCATTTCTATATTTATCTAGATCTATCTATATTTATATCTCTCTATATCAATATATCAATATAACTAGATATGTAAATATTTCTATCTATATCTATCTATCTCTATCTCTATCTATCTATCTATCTATCTATCTATCTATCTATCTATTTTTATCTGTCTATATATATTTTTATATCTATACCTATGTCTCTATCCATTTCTATATTTATCTAGATCTATATCTCTCTATATCAATATATCAATATAACTAGATATGTAAATATTTCTATCTATATCTATCCCTATGTCTATCTATCTCTATTTCTATCTATCTATCTATCTATCTATCTATCTATCTATCTATCTATTTTTATCTGTCTATATATATATTTATATCTATACCTATGTCTCTATCCATTTCTATATTTATCTAGATCTATCTATATTTATATCTCTCTATATCAATATATCAATATAACTAGCTATGCAAATATTTCTATCTATCTATATCTATTTCCATCTATCTATATCTCTATTTTTATCTGTATCTGTATATATATCTATTTATATCTATACCTATCTCTCTATCCATTTCTATCTGTATCTATCTACATTTATCTATATTTATATATGTGTCCCATCCCTAAAAAATTAGCACACCCACATGCATACGTGCTTGGATGCACTCAGTATTCACACTCACATACACAGCAACACCTGCAGGTATAAACACACACACACACACAAATATATATATATATATTATATAAATACATTAAAATAAATATAAATATAAAACTATAAATACACACACAAATATATATATTGAATTTTTATATATATCTATATAATATATAAAAATATATTTATATATTT